AGTCAGACTGTCCCGGCCTGTGTGTCTGTGCAGCGCCGGGCACAGGGTGCTGGGATCCTCATTAGACTTTCGGACCCCTATTAATTTCATCTGGTGACCCCTGGTTTGTGTATTTGGGGAAAGGGTAAATAACTACTTCAGTGCTTGAACCCACAAGGCTGCGGGTTTTCAGTGCCAGAGCTTCAGGATCTGGGGATTGAGGGGTTTTAAGCATTTGTATCTCCTCCTTTTCCTAAGAGACTGGAGAATTCAACTGCGAATGGACTCCAGATCCCAGCCCCGAGCTCCCGGAGGAGAATGACGGACTAGAGAGTCTAGCAAGGGCTATGTGACGGTCTTTATCACAGCATCTGATACTTGTTCAATGCCCTGCTAAATTCATGTATCATCCTTAGCATACAATACTGGGGCCTCTCTCATTGTTTGCGCAATGGCACCGCTTTTCTGTCTCTCTCGGGTTGGTCCTGATGGTTCAGGTTGAAAATGTTGGTTGTTTGTGCCCTGGGAACACTCATCAGTCGGGTTATTCTTGCTGTGTCTCTGCTCACCTGACTCCCATGGAATTCTCCCCCCACTCTGCACATTGGCTGATGTCAGCAGGGCCAGCTCTAACTTTTTTGCTGCCCCAGGCAAAAAAAAAAGAGCGCCCCCCCCCCCTAACCCCCCCCCCCCCGAGCGCCACGCCACCAAAACCCCTGTCCTCCCCCAGCGCCGTGCTGTGCCGAGCCACCGAAACCCCTGCCCCCTCCGAGCGCCGGGCTGGGCTGGGCCTGGCCACACAAACCCCTGCCCCCACCCGGGCGCCGGGCCACGCCGGGCCGCCCAAACCTCCCCCCTGAGCGCCGCGCTGCTCAAACCCTGAGCGCCGCGACCAAACCCCCGCCCCCCCCCCCCAGCGCCGTGCTGCCGAAGCCCCCTTCCCCAGTACCGCGCTGCTGAAACAAAAACAAACAAACAAAAAACCCCAAGCGCCCCCGCCACCCCAAGATTGGCCGCCCCTTCCAATTTGCCACCCCAAGAACATGCTTGGTCGGCTGGTGCCTGGAGATGGCCCTGGATGTCAGCACTAGTGTGGGGACCCCAAACTGTCCCTAATCAAAGGTGTACGAGGCACAGTAGGAGTGGGCGTGAAAACAGGCCCATATCCCACCCAACTGGCACAGGATTCAGTGTAAACAGAAAGGGGAAGGCAGGGGAAATCAGGATTGTACACTTCTAAACTGCTGCATGGGGTGAAGATATTCCTCTGGCTCGGCGGGACACGGTACTGGCAGAGGTCCTTGTGTAAGGCCCTCCACACGGGGGTGAATTTCACCCACACAGAATTATCTATGGGCTGAGGCGGGAGGTCACCTCTAGATTAGTGACCCCTCCCTTCCAGTCAATCATCTTCATTCAGGGCTCAGCCTTGCCACTGACCTTCCCTCGGGGCTCAGCTTCTCCCTTCACTGGGACAAGGGGGGAGCCTTGCACTGGAGAGTGGCTGACCAGAAAGCCCTGGTGAGTCAGTGGGAGCATTGCAGAGTGAGGGCGGATTCACCTGCTCCTTCTTCGCTAAAATAGCCACTGAGCATCTGCTCCCTGCGCTCCCCAGGGGCAGATGGAGTCAGCGGAGCCTCTCTCTCCCCTGGCAGTTGTGTGAGATCTCATCAAGGGGAGATACTTTGTGTGTCTCTCTTCTCATTGCTGTGGAACGAAAGCTCCACCGCCAGGAAATCCCTTCCCCAGTCTCTGCAGGGCGAGGTTTTTGTCTGAGCCCAGGTCAGCTTCCCCTCACTGTGTGTCTGGCACAGTAATACACGGTGGTGTCCTCGGGTCTCAGGCTGGTCATTTGCAGGTAGAAATTGGAGCTGTCCTTGGAGGCTGTGAATCGCCCCTTGATGGTGGGAGAATAATACTCGCTCCCTGGTTTCCAGTAGCTGACCAGCCACTCCAGCCCCTTTCCCGGCTCCTGTCTGACCCAAGCCATATAATAGTCGGTGATAGTGAACCTGCTCACGGCGCATTTCAACCGAGGGGATTCTCTGGGTTTCTTCAGTTCTGGACCAGACTGGGTCAGAGCAACCTGTGACTGGGCCCCTGTGGGAAAGGGGAGAGAGAAAAGCGAACAATGAGGGAACCGGTCACATGAAACACTATTCCCCTTCAGTTAACAGGAGACGAATATCAATAAAAGCACCTTAGAAAATACATTTTTAGAACATTGCAGAAAACCAGGAACGTTTGCCCCCCTCCCCAGTGCATGTGTAGGGAGAAAATACCTTCTAGAGCCGCCACAAGGAAAAGTAAATGGAGCCAAAGTCTCATTTTCCCTGGTGTTGGTGGAGAAAGTCCTCAGTGGAGTGGCTGGTAACTGCACAGACACAGGGGGCTGCAGTTTGTCTGTCCGGGTGCTGCTGGGACAGAGAGAGATTTAAACAGGAGACAGCCACCTATTTGCATATCCCTCTCCTTATAAGAGACAAACTCCTTCCCGAGCCGACTCGTTTTCTTTTCGTGGGGTTCAGAGAAAATGGGGAAGTCTTTTCTCTTGCTCTGGGCCTGACCCAAAGCTCATTGAACTCAATGGGAATCTTTCCTTTGCTAACTGTAATGCTCGAAATACCTAGAGTCATATTTTTTAGCTTTCTGTCTTAGGTAGTTCTGGGAGCATCGCTTACCATAGCATCTCAGCGCCTCCCAGATTTAGTGTATTTAGCCTCACAACACTACAGTGATGTAAAGAATAGCTATCTTGTTTACAAAGCGGGGACCCAGGCTCAGTGCGGGAGATTTTGAAAGGTATGTGAGTGTCCTAAAATGCAGGAAGGCACCTTGTGGGATCTACAAAAGTGACCAGGACTCTAATGCCTCTTCATTTCAATGGCATTTAGGCAAAACTTTAGGAGCCTTCATAGTGTCATTAGGTGCCAATGACACCTTCTTTGGGAATCTAAATAACTTTTAAATCTGGCTGTATGTGATTTGCTCCAGCTCCCAAAGGAAAACATAGTACTACTACTAATATGGGTCCAATGGAACAGGTGGACCTTAATTTGGGCTTCATCTCAAATTGATTGGATTACACAAGGGTTGGATCTGAGGGGAACCTCAGAATGTAATTTTCTGGCTGCTTTTCTTTTGAAAAATTTTACCAGTTATTTTTCTCACAGATTTCAGGGGAATTCACAGGGTCAAAGTGCAAATGCAGTTTGTGTGTGTAAAGGAGCAGGGTACGTAGGTAACCCACTGCCCCTTGTCAGTCTTGTCCCCAAGGCTGTGCTGTGCTGTATTCCACATGCCTCATTGCTGTCACGTGTTGGGGTCTAGTGCCAAAATCTGAGAGGTCGGTGTCTTTCTGCTGGAATGTGTCACTGACCCTGGTGACACTAAGCGGACTCACAGCCTGGTTTATTAACGAGGGTGTTAGAACCAGAATGAATCAGGTTGAGGATCGATGGTTTGTGTTATGCAGGAGCTCAGACTAGTTTATCACACTGCTCCCTTTAGGTTTATGAATCTGTGAATATCTAGGAGGCTTTTGTGTGGGCTCAGAATTTGTCCCACGCAGAGGAATAAGAATTTCCCTGACATGATTTCAGGGCCCGATTGCTGTCAGTTTGTGTGTGTGGGGGGGGGAGGGGAAGATTCAGCCTTGGGTCCCCCCCCCCCCAACTGGAGTAGTGGGGCTGTGGTATGGCGGGTCACAACCACAACTATTGATAAGTGATTTCTTGACAGATAGATGCTCTCAAACTAAGTTTTCTTTAACCATCTTAAGATCTGTTTCTTTATCTGGTGATAGTGGGGGCCATTAGGATGGGGTCTCCTTCTTAACAGCCGGATATGACATTGTTTTAATGTAATTTAGATGGAATGTGAGGATGTGACTTCCTGCTTCTCAGCTAATGGCTGCTGCTCCGCTGCTCTTTTAATCTGGCTGCAGAGGAAGGCCTTGAATTGAATTGAAGCTTTTCTGGAGCAAATTTTCAAAGGCACAAAGGGCAGTTCGACAGGCAGCTCCCATGGATCCTGGTCCTATTTGGGCACCTCACTTGTGTTTGCCCCTGTCACAATCTCCCCTTGTTCCTCTCAAGTCAGGAAGGACAGTGAAGAACACTGGTGTCTAGTTCAGTCCCTTCTTATAGGCTAGGGGACTCCTGGGACAATGACCTTGGTGTTCTGTGTTGCTAGGGATGCTGGGATGAATAATGCTCAGGCTGCGGAATGTTTATTTGGCTGTGGAGCATTCACCAGTAGTGTAGTTTTGTGCGACTGGTCACCTGATGACATGGGCTTCCTCCTCTATTCTCTACATTAGCTGAAGTCGACTCTAGTAATCAAACTGCCCCTGGTCTTATTGTGTCGGAGGTGCACAAGGGGGTGGGGGCAACAGGACAGGCCGACATCCAGCCCACTGTGAGGAGAGTTCAACTGGACCACAATCTGCAGAGCAGCGGAGAATCAGGATAGTTCCTCTCTAACCCGATGCGTGGAATGGAGGCGGAGTTCCTCTACATGAACTGTGCCTTGTGTCTGGAGGGGACATTACAACTGGGGTCGCCCAGCGCACGTCCAAAAATGGATCTCGGTAAATCTTTATGTTTACTATGAAATGGTTTGTGTGAGGTTGAATGTGAGACACGGAGCCAGGGATGGGAGCAATGTAGGGGAAATGCTATAAAAACAGAGCAGTCCGCCCCTGGAAAGAAGGCAGCACTAGGGCTGTGAAATATTAAAATCCCACTTCACGCTGATGTAGGGCTCATTCTGGGACCTCTTCACAAGGGTTAAAATGATCGCCCACAGGGAGCTATGAATGGGTTGAGGGGGAATAGATTTAGTCCTCTCAGCACCTTGCCGGCATGGAGACAGAGTGACTTACTGTTTGCTCAGAATCAATGTGCTGTTTGTCATCCACCTAACAGAACATCTGACATCTATTCCTGGCTCTAATATGATAGTCGGGCAATGCAGTCTGCAGTAGGTACCAGTATAAAGACTCTTTTTGTATCTTCCCAGCCAAGGGAGGGAAGAATAGTTTACTTGCTGTAGCTAGAATATTCCTGGCACCTTTCCTCTCATTTCTTGGCAGAGTGATAGACAATTCGTAGAGCAGGGTGCTTGGAGCCAGGACTCCTGGATTCCCTTCTGAGTCTTTGAAGTTTTGATTCAGTGTTTGACTTTGGGAGACGCAGGGTTTAGTTCCCAAGTGCTTGTAACTTGCCATAGAATCTGCAAAGAAGCGAATACAGAGCCAAGCACAGAGAACCCGGTGCTGGAAGCTGCTGCTCTCTGGCACTCACCCTGGAAGGCTGGTTCTCCGCAAGGTTAGTTTTAGTGCGGGCTCTGATAGGTTCCCCCTCACTGAGTGTATTTGGCACAGTAATACATGGAGGTATCTCCAGGTTGCAGGCCGGTCAGTTACCGTAGCCCTGACCTCTCATGTCAGCTATCGCAATTCCCATATCTTCCAGCTTTTTAAGAAGCACATTTATCATACCAGCTCCTGTAGTATCATCAATGTCAATAAATTCTAGAAAATGCTCTCTGACAGTTACCATTGCAGGGACATTTTCACTAGGTTCTGTTGTTGTTACAAAACACACCATTAAAGTCATTTGTTCCGTATGGCTGATGTCAGATGTACAGTCCAGAATAACAGAGTAATATCTTGCTGACTTCAGATCTGCCACAATCTTCTGTTTGATTTTTGTTGCCAGTAACTGTATGATCTCATTCTGAATTGTTTTTCCAAGGTAGTGGTGTGTGTACATTTCTTGGGTGATGACTCTTCTTAGATGCTCCTGGAGTACAGCATCAAACTCAGCCATCGTCTCCACAATTTTAAGGAAGTTTCCATTGTTTGGCACATACAGATGATCTGAAGTGCTACGCAGTGCTAGGTTTGGGGTAGCAAGCATTCTCACAATGGCAATGAGCCTTTTCAGAACATTTTGCCAGTAAAAAGACTCTGATGCAATCTTCTCTTGATGCTGATCATCTATGGTGGCCTTTAACCTTAGTCTCATCTCAAGCTCTTTCCACCTATGGAATGCTCTCTGGTGATTTGCTGCCTTCTCGTGGCATGCCAGATTTCTAGCCAGATTTTTCCAGTCCTTTGTTCCTGTAGAACACAATTTGGCTGGAACATTAGACTGGAAGAGTTTGCCACAAAAACAGTATGCAGCATTCTGGGTTTTTGAGTACATAAGCCATGGCCTCTCCACTTTGTCACCATTGGGGATTTGACGCCAGTAATGTGTTGGATGGAAACTTCTATTTTCATTGTCTTTGGGGAACATGAAGTTTTTCACTTGCTGTGGCCCATGCAGTACTAGGAAGTCCCTCAGCCTACTGCTCAAGTGGGTCCACAGTCCTGGATCATCTAGACTTAAGGGACTAAACTCAGCAGCAGCTGCTTCTTGCACCTCCACCAGACTCTTCTCTGATCTACACTTTTCTTCAGGAATGTGCATGGTTACATCCATTTGAGATGGAGATATGGATGCTGCAGTAGCTGCCAGGTCACCTGCACTCTGACTAACTGGAAGATCAGGCATCTCCTCACCACTCACATCCTCACTGGGGCCGGAAGGCTCACCGTGAACATTTGTGTCTATGTATCTCAGGAGAGCTCCTTCCTGCTTAGATAGAAACGCTTCCTTTGCTTGCTTTCTTTTTCTGAATGCTGCCCCAGAGGGGCGTTTTCTTCTTTCACTCATGACGGCTGTTCTGCGCCAGCTAGAGTGGCTCTCAACACTCAGTTGAAGGGGACAAATAAGGAGGCTGGTAGCTGGGCCTGAGTGAGGGAAGATATCAACATCTTAAGGGCCTAACTGGCTCCTACTACTTCAGTTGACTGCCTGTTCTCCTCCAGTGGGTTCAGGGAAGCAGCAGGAAACAGGAAGGTCCCTGAGAAGCTGGTGTGAATCCGTCCAGGCTCCTGGGGCTGCTAGAGAGGTACATCAGAGGCTCCTCCTCCTCCTCTCTCTTCCTGCAGCTCCTGCTGCTTTCTGTTCTTCCCTCTCACCTTTTCTCCTGCCTGCCTGTTATGTCTCTTGTGCCCTCCTTCCTCCAGCACAGCACTCCACCATCTC